AAGTACGGATGCTGCGCATAGGGAAATGATGGTGACCTGCATTATACTTCCTATCCGAAAATTATGGTTATCTGCGAACAGTTTGATATATATTATCCCGGCAAGTTTTAAGAAAAGTTTGGAATGTTTTCCATCGTCAACGAGATAATAGATCTGTTTGGCACAAAATTCCTTAAGAGACTTGCCTAAAGGGAAACAATGCAAGTCTTTTTTTCTGCTCCATATATAACCTTTAACAACTCATATGAAAAATGTTCACTAAAGATTAACTACCCACCTATCTAAATAGCTATCCGCAATTCGAACTTTACGCCAAACAAAAATTTCCTGAAAGTTTCCCTTATAACTTCAGTTTAGAGAAAAGTGCTCTTGAGCTTTATGAGCTGGTGGGAAAACATGGTAGTCTATGCCATAAATTAACCCGAGAAATGAATTACAAGACCATCTCGCTTCCTGTAAAGGATTTTATTATGAACCTCTCGGCCCAAAGATAGCTTTAAATATTTTTCGATAAAGACAGAGAGGCCTGGACGAAGCTCAAAACGTGCACCAAACATATTGGCAAGAAAAGTAGATTAGAAATTATCACGGGCCCACTAAAAACCTTGAAGAACATATATTCACTTGAAGGATAAACCTCAAGATATTACTTCCAAAATAAAGAAGTTCCAATATCTACGAATTAACTGCAAAGGAAGCGAAGTATGAAACGTATAAGTAATGTTTACTTCTAGCAGCAAAGTGATTAGTTTAAAATAATTTCTTTCCCTTTAATTACAAAATTCTCGTTCTTAAGGATTATATCCAAGAATGCAATCGGTCGAAATATCTACACAACACTTATAAAATTTTGCAACCATTATACGATGGCGAAATTTTATAAAAATGTAATTCGTATAATTAAATGGATATGGATAAAGGTTACGGCCGTATATGTTCAATACCCAGGATATCATTCTTCCATCCACGCTTTCTAGGCTAAAAAAATTGCATTTATGAAATGTGAGAGATCTACTTCAAGTTTTTGAATTCATGACAGTTGCAATGTCAAGAAAATCACAAAATTCTTTTCTTACAAACATACATACAATTGAAAGGGGGGAAAATCACCAAAATGATGCGATTTTCAAATAAAATGAGTCGACAACGGCAGATCTACTACAGAGACGGGCAGGCTGACTTTTAATAAATTTACCTTAGATTAGAAAAGTCCCTATAAGCATCTTCTTAAGGAAAGCGTAACTCATACACTAGTTATTTACAAACAGTAGTACATGATCGTGCAACTTTAGAAATAATATCCTGGTAGTAATATAAAATTCTTCTTTTATAATGTTTTTTTCAACTCAAGAGGTTATAGTTTATAACTGGGATAATTCGGTATACTTTAGTTGTAGGTGTAAGAAAATAATCATATTTATATTATAATGCACTTACGTTGATTCCTTTGATACTTTTGAACTAGTATCCGATTCATGGCGGCGACGTTTAGCAGCAGAACGTGTGTACTTTGAACGAGGCCTAAAAAGAAAGTCAACATATGTGAGACACAATGGCAAAGTCAACATCAGGAGAACTTATTAATTGTAAAACTTACGGTGAAACAGCTTCGGAAGCTAAGGGTGTTGCCTCTCCTGAACCCACTCGCCTACGTTTATCACGTATGGCAGCTGAAGAACGATCCCTAGAATGATGGCGTCTACGTGTGCGGGGCATCTGGAAATTGAAGGAAGCCGATATTTTTAATAATACTTCTGCATAATAATTAAATGTATCGATTGTAATCTCGATGTCATATTTTCAATGACAACAAAAAAAAAACACATGGTTTCATTGCATGTCCATCAACATAGTAATAGGAGAGGGTACGCATATATTACGATGTATGTGGATAGTAAACATTATTCAATAAATTGTACACTACCTTTGAATTAATCAATTATCACAATCCGACGACAAAAGTTATAATAATCAGAAAAGGTCAAAAATGTGCTGCGGTCCAGCCAAAAACAAAAACTCGTTTGTCTTTTTTTAGATGAAATTGACAGCCACCAAGACGGCAATAAGGCTACACTAAAACACAATTCACACGAATACACAAAAATTGATTTTTTTATTTCCATCCACTTGTCTTTTGAAATTAAGTCTTTTTCATTTTCGTGAAATGTAAATAACTTTTAATACAGTATTTTTTCTTTTTTTTTATAAATACTTTTTAAAAAAATTTGAGCTATATATAGAAACTCCCACGATATACGATTTTAAAACAAACAATATTCTTTATTTTATACAAAATTTGTATATTTGCAAACTTCGTGCTTGTCAAAATGCACACTTTGATGGCTATGAACTGAGTATGTCTTGTGACGTCATTGATAAACTACTATTCTTCTTTTAACTTGGAATCTCTATCTTAAAAACGCCATTATTGCCATCATAAGGTTAATATAGACCCAACAACGATTTAAAAAAGTAAAAGCAATATGGCAGCGCAGCGCTATGTTTTCTATTCACAAGACTCTGAGAGTAAATTGTATTTAGTCTCTCTCGTTACAAAGAAAAAAGAAGAATTGCAATAGCGCATACGGTTTTTTAATAAAAACATAACACTTCATAAAAAAAAAAATGATTTCTATTGCGATGGCCTTTTACTCATGCAATGCAATTACGAGGTACTTAACGAATAAAACCCCCCTTCCCGCTTACCTTTCTTTCTTTGTTAACTGTAGAAATTGGTTTATAAGTGAGGGCTAAAAGTGATATAGCCGTAGGCAAATATAATTTACTCCACAGAGTATTCAATATACTTGACACAAGTTTCCAAGTCTTTAAGGCCGGTTCTTGTATGCGTACGTGCATGGGATCTAATAATTGTTCAATTCAACGTTCTAATTTATGGTTTTTGGTACTTTTTTTCCAAACAATATTTATGCACCAACAACAGTTTTATTACCAGCGAATGTTTGTTTTGCGAAGAAAACTGTCAATTGTACATAGAAACGCGAATAGGGTTACCGAACGCCATGAATGAAAGATAATAAAAACGAAAAAAAAACCAAACTTGACGCTGCGTTGTAGAAAGCATATAACAAAATCTTCAATGTATTGAAAATAATTAAATTGAAATACGTGTGAAATTAAATTTTTAAAATATATTCGAAACAATCCTTAATACAATGATATTAAGTATTAAAGCGATCTTTGTCAATTGTTTAATAATTTTAATTTTTTCACTCGATTATAAGTTCCTTCTTCTGAAGTTTAGCGCGTTTTCTATTTCTTACGCCAGAGATACCAATATTCCTTTTTGACTTATATGGTAAGGCAATAATTGAATATATTCGACAAATGTATATTTCTTCCAAAAAAGTTTATTTTTAAGAGAAAAATTATATATGCTTGATCCTTTCACGAGTTATGTTAAAGCTTCTGGAATTTAAAAATGTTGGCGAAATCGATTCGTAAATATGTGCAAAACTAGAAAACCGATCATTTTGCTTAGTATTGAAATTTATCTTCCATTTTTACTTTATACAACAACGAATTTATGGCCAACTTTCTCCTTTATATATTTATATCTGGACGAAAGTTAGAAATCGAATAAATCGGTCAATTAAGTACATATCGTATATAAACATCCCGTTAAAAAAGATTGCATTCAATTTCCGGAATATTCACTTGTTTAAATCGTAGAAAAACATGGAGAGTAATTATGTAACCGGAAATGACGTACCGTTTTTGCTAAACAACTAAATACCAAAGCGAAAACTAACTTTCAGCTACATAATAACCGGATGATTACATTTTTACGATATGCACGATACAATATACAATCCATACAGCAAGTAAGCGAGAGCGGATAAGTCTTCGCTGTCTCACATGCGCGAATCATTGTGTTCTATGAATAAACACAAAATAATTGCTAATAAATTCATAAATTATGCAAAGTTTTAGAAAATTTATGTTTGGCTTTCCTTTTCAATCTTTATTCATTTAAGCGCCACCTGCACTGTGTTATAAATATCACAAAACGCAACCAACTTCAATGTACGTATTTTACTACAAAGAGTACAGTAAACTAAAGGAAAACATCGCTTATTGTTATTCAGAGTGTAGTACTGCCAGTCGTATAAACTATCTAGTATTTTTTAAAAATTATATGAATGTAATAAACAATAGTGCTTTTAGTAATTTGCAATGTTTATCATTTACGTTTTGTTAAAAAATAAAAATATTTCCTTCTTAGTTTTTCGTTTGTTCTTTTTTCTGCGAGAAATTTTAATTAAATCACTGCTATCAGGTAACTGTTGAATGTTTTATGTTACTTAATTAATTTTTTTTTGTTTTTGGCTTTCTCTAATAATAAAAAATAGTTTAGAGCATTTCATTACAAAATTCATGACGTCAGATTGTGTCACGTCTTATATTTTTTTACTTTGCCTATTAATTATAAGCAAAAATGAACTATAACATATATTGTATATAAAAATTTATGTTCATATCCTACATATCAATTAAGTAAAGGGCGATTCATGTAAACTTAAAAGTTTAGTACAAATTTTATGCCTATACATATTAAAAACCATTGAGCCCAAGTAAAATAGAAATATGATTTTAAATACTATATTAATAGTAAGGATCAAATAAATTAAATGAATATATGAAAGGCTCAATATTTTTTTATAATCGACTACTTAAAGATATTGCTTTTTTTTTTAGCCCTTCTTTCAGGCGAAACTATCTCCAACATCTCCAGTCACATGTAATTGACACATGCGCATAACGATTTTTTAAGCCATGTGCTTTTTTATAATCGCATATTCACAGTGAGAGGGAGATCCCGAGACAAATTACCGCTATATAAAAATCTCGACAATGCCACCGTTATATGTTAAACATAAAACAGTTATTAAATGTGAACGACATAAGTGAATTGGTGCTCAGTCGGAATTTACGCTTCGGTCAAAATACTATTAACGGTACTATTGAAGGAGGTGAATAAATTAAAGCAAGAGTTATAAAAGAAAATTAAAAAAAAAGAAACCCTTATACTTGCAAAATGAATGCAGGAGCTTAGTGAAAAAAAAAAAACTAAAACAAAATGGACATGAATTAAAAACTTGAGATAATTTTTAAATGAAAGCAAAAAGAAAAGATAAATTTGAACAAACAGTTTCGTTTTATATATGAAAAGGCGCGCAGTATTCACATACTACGCTGGAAGCTGTGATGCGATAAACGAAAATATTGATTTTAAAATTTAAGCAAAAGGCAAATATACACACACCCACCTATATACATATATATATATATATATATATATATATAAAGTAAAAATAAAAATAAAAGCTTTCTTTAACCTGAATTAATTCCCTGCAACTAATGCATTTTTATTAAATCTCACACACAAACACATAAACATACACAATCATAAAGTATTCGCAGGTCTTTCATTTCATATTTTACTATATTTCTATTAAAATAAAAAAAGGAGAGGAAAATTCGCGTGATTCATCTAGATTTTCCTTAACGGGAGCAAGCATGAAACACAAAACATCGGCGCTGTTGACATGAAATGTTCCCCATTTGATACAAGTCTTGCTTGTTATTTTATATTTATATTCTCGTACATTTTTATTCTTCCTTTTCTTTTTATACTAAGAAAAAAAAAAATAATAATAAAAATAATAAAAATATATTTGCACACACATATGCGAGCGCACATAGGCCACATAACCGACATTGCCCTCATTTCGTGTGTACCATTTTTCTGGTATTGCTGTGCTAAGTAACATATACAAATACAAATTTAAATGTTGTTTTTTTTCCCCGTTTATGCTTATGTGTGTTACACATTCAACGTACGTTCATTTGTATCGCATGTACAGCACGTGCTAGTTTACGAAATATGTTATATAAATAGTAAAAACTTACAGCTACGCGCTACCAGAGAATGAAGTAATAAAAAAAAAAAAAAAAACGAAGAAAACGTCATAAAGTAAACACACAACAGAACAGAGAGTAAAACATAATAGTAAAAATCAAAGAAAATATTAAAAAAAAAAAAGGATAATATCGCATAGAATATGTAAAGGAAATTGTATTAACTTGGATACTCAGTAACTAGAGTAACAAGAGCTTCAATAAATTTTGTCACTAAACGTGATTTATTGCTACATAGAGCTTCGATTTTTTTTTGATACAAGAATAGAGCGCCATATAAACTTGCAGGTAACATCTGAATGATATATATGGCTCCGGGAGTTCCAAAATTAAGCGAAAAGTCAGGTACGTTAAGTCTGTCTATAATTTTGCGAAGATGTCTTCTAGGTTTACTTTTTTGTTTTTTTTTTTTTTTTAAAGCTAAACTAATTCATTTATTAGGGACAAGCTTGAAAAATGCATTCCCATGCAAAGGCAACATTGCTTAAGGAAGTTCTTCTTTTATTTTTGTTTTTTACGAATCTTCTCTTAATTTTACATTGGCGGTATAAGTGCATAAATATTATCAAGTATTTTTTGTTTTCTTTCTAATGTAATTTTACATATATGCATGTGTCGACGTATAATACAAATAAATACCACACATGTGTTCAACGTATTCCCTAGGCTTTTAGTCTTTTTTTTTTTTTTTTGATTTACTTTCTTGAGTGAAAGTGATTTCTGCGGTTTCTTCTTCTCTATGCTTTGAATATATGCGCAGTCAAGGTCATTGCTGTATTTTAATTAATTCCGGTGTCGGATGTGTATTTTTATTTTACATTTTTTTTTTTTTTTGTTGTAAAATAATCAAAATTATCAATTTGTAAAAACCGGATATAATAAGATATAAAAATGTCAAGGTCTAAAAGATATGTTTTGAACTTTTTTTTTTTTTAATTTGCATTTATTTTGCAATTGAGTTATAAAGACTAATATTAAAAGGGAAAATTAAATTTTTAATATCCCCCCGCCCCACTAATTTGCCCAAGCGTTGTAATAATACGCCTTAGTTGGTAGCGCTTAACGATTAGTTGTACGAACTAACTGTCTACCGTTCCGTTCCATAGATATATGAGTTTCTTTTTTCTCTTTTGATTTTGTAAAGAATGATAAAAAAAGATAATTTTCACATGAATGGTTGATCCTTTTTAAGAAAGTCTAAAGTTAAAATTCAAGTCTCTAAACAAAATTCTAGGCTCGACTTAGTAAGTTCCTATGTTTATAAGTTTGTAAATATAAATATATATAAATATGCTAGATCATCGATATTTGTCTGCTTCGCCCTCCTTTGAAGTTAGGATTTGGGCTTTGCTCGAATCTACGCTAAATCCATAGGAGCATGAATCACTTCATAGTTACTAAGAAGTGTGGCATTCCGTCTTATACCCTACAACACTTGCGATACAGTGTACATTAAGTTTGTGTGGATGTAAGTAATATCCAGAAGGACTTTAGATAATCTCGTCTTCTATTATATCGTTCAGGTAAGAATCATTTTCTGGATCGATTTAAGCTTGGCCGTCCGTCTGTCCGCATTGTTCTCTTGTGCTCAATCTACAGGTCGAAATTTTTGAAATATTTTGGCTAAACATGGTACAGTGGCATTTCTGGTCCCAAGGGCGAACGCTTAGATTGGACCTCCTTATCTATAAAAGATCGTCATAGGAAAAAAATTGCACCTTTAGCAACTACAAAGATTATATTCAGTCATAATTTTACTTTGGCAAACAAGCAAAGTTAAATATAAGCTTAAGTTACTATGTCTATCGAGACCAAATTTTGAGTCCCCAATGCGACAAACGGGGTATGTAAATACTGCATTGCGTATTGTTAATTGTGGGCAACTTAGCTGACATATCATCATTATTTTAAGTGTTTCTCTCTGATAGTTGCATGGGACGGGACACATACATATCAACAAAATATACAAATTTTTTGTTGTTTTTTTTTTTTTTGTTAGGTTTTTAACTGTTATTATGATTATTTACACTTTTTAAAATTTCATGTGAAAGCCAATAGTAGATGAGTCAGCCACTTCAATCAATCATTGGCAAATACACAAACTAATTCAATTAAAACATTCTCGATTGATTGTATCTATCTGACTGTAAAAAATCGAATAATAAAATTGCTGAAACTCGATTCTTCGATGCCGTTCATGCAATATATGAAATAAAATTATTATTAGGTGTTTGCAAAAATTTTGATCACCAAATTCTACAGGTTGAAAATGATAGAGATATGGGAAATACTAGTGTACATAACGCTTGAATTCGATCGTTTTGATCTCGGCGTAAGCCGACCCTAATCATGGAACACTCAAAATGCTTGTTCCAAATTCATTAGTTATGGTGATGTTGTTCCATCATAACCCAATTGTCGCTTTTGGCTTCAACAGTGTAAAAGTGGCGACACGGATTGACAGTAAACGTCATTTTTTGCTCACTTGTCTGCAAGAGTTGTCCAGGAGACACTGTTGCAGCTCGAATGAGAAGTTCTATCACACACATCGTACTCGCCAGACATGGCACTTCCTGATTAACACTGTAAGGTGACTTGTCTGGCCGGCCGATCCGTAAAGTTGAAAAACTTGCGAAAATGGTTCGGCGAGTGGATCGCAGCCAAACCAATACAAGTTCTTTCGACATGATATCGCCATGTCACCAAAAATATTGTAGAAAATGATGGAAAGTATTTTGATTAATATATGCTGTGCCAACTTTCCACAATAAATGCCTTTTTCAAATGGAAAGGTGATCAAAATTTTTGCAATAATAATAATAAGCAATAATAAGACAAAGTCTCCATGTTTTCATCATATCAGTTTTCATTTATCGCGTGATATTTTCTAATGCTAATTACAATAATTAAGGAAATATCACACGCTTGTGCCTGATATCTAATTACTCACTACAAATAAAATATTTATGAAAGGGGAACCATTAACTTGAATATATGTTTAAATGTGAATCCGCCTGAGTGGCCAAATAGGCAAGAGGCTCGACTAGCAACTCAATGGTCGTGGGTTCGAATCTCAAGTGCGGTAGAGTTTTTAATAAAAGCCGAAAGCCTTAAATGCTGCTAGTGCTTTAAGACTTTAGGATTTCAATTTCTGGCTAAATTTATAATAATATGTTTAAATGTATTTGTAAGAAATCATATCCGATTCCACATGCTTCGTCCGTCGGGATTAAATTATTTAAAAGTTTACGTACATCTCCAACATGCATCTATGAATGAGCTTTTTTTACCTTGGATTGGGCGAACGAGTTTCATTGTATATCTTGGAGAATTGAAAGTATTAATGATGAAGAACGACTGCAAAAGAAAATAATTCAGTCCGGTTGGGGTGATAACGATTTCTGCTCAATGATCTTGATTGAGCTCCTCTTCACGTTAAAGGTTCTTACGTAATTATGGACAAATGTTCATCAATATCTTCATCAATATCCGAAGTCCGAGTTGATTTAAGCATGTCCGTCTGTCCGTCTGGAAGAAAATTCATGTTGTTTACCTGTTGTGTAGTGTATGAGTAACGAGCAAAAAACATGGAGAGTAAAAGTGTTTCTATTGCATTGTTATGAAATTCGCTTTTCTAAGATAGGACTCCACTACAAGATCTTGGATATTCTTTTCAAGAGAAATGCGCTTCAAAGTTCTTTTATTTACAATTATATTCCTTAAGAGTAGAATTATTCACAATTTATTTTTAGCAATACTTTCGACTGCTCAACTCAAATATTCTTTTTGTACTGACCCTCCCTCCCTTCCACAAAAATATTCTATTTATATACATTTTTACAAGCACACTACTATATCCAAATTCATGGCTTCATTTTTAATCCCTGTCTGCTTTTCCGCTAATCGTTTTCATCGGCCGGCAGCTGGATGAAGCGCCGCGATTATGCACCTCGTTGTTCCCTCTTTAGGGAATTTATTATCTGGGAAAATTACTTAGGCTGGAGTGAACTGGATTTAGGATTTCCGTAACAATATCGATGTATGGCTTCGGTATGCGTCTTTTTTGACCAGTTTCGATTATTTTCAAATTCTTTTGCAAATTTCTAGCCAGTGTGCTTATGTTCGCTAACGAGAGACTGTTAACCACAGACAGTACACACTTGGACGGATATACGGATGGATACTGATACTGATAAAAAATACATATACTTATTGGGCTTTCTTAAGCTTCCTTCTGGTGGTCTTTGAAATATTAGGACAAAGTGAATGCACCTCTCGGTGCTTCGGTGATGGGTATCAAAATGTTACGTACAATGTATCGATATTTG